ATTCAAGTATGTAAAGACCAGAGTATTTAATAAGAATATTTCATTAATTCAGATCTGGGATGTCTTGTTTTTGTGTTCCCTTTATTTTTTGAGCATCTTGGGATAAATTTGCTGTGAATGTGACATTGTGTTATCATATATGTGAATGCTTAAGACATGCGAATTGCCAACATTGCTTTTATTTAATGGAAGTCTTGCAGGTCTTGCTCACCTTGCCATTCATCAGCTAGCAGCACATGACTACTGATATCATCTTAATTCCTATGGAAGCAGTAAGGTTATTTTTCCTTTTTTTTTATGCAGGACTGCATAGAGTGAAATCTTTTTGCACGAAAGCCTCATATGACAGCCGCTAGTCTTATGGTGATAAGATATGTTGATAAGGTGTGCTATGTCTATGTCTGTATCTATTATTTTGGCAGTATATTAAGGTGTGTGTGTTTATGTGTGGGAAGGCGAGATGTCCATGTGCATTCAGGCAAGCCGGCACTGAGGCACTTGTTTGAATGTGTCTTGTGTGCCAGGGTGACTGAGGACAAATATTGACTTTTGCAATATTAATTAAACAAACATCCCATCATGTCTATCATCTCTCATTGCACTTGAGTCACTGTTTTTCTTTTTTCTTTTTCTTTTTGGATAACTGCCTGTCATTTCTATTATTTCAACAAGGTCTTTAATGTGAGGCTTCAACTGTTTTAGTGAAAGAATGAAAGTCAGATGTGACAGATAATGGTTTTGTCTTGAAAACTTTAATTTAATATTAAAATAATTAAAATGGAATACATTTTACTGACTTGGTTTTAAGTGAATGTTAAAAAATGTCTGTGGTTATAGATAATATGTTTTAATTTGTCATATTTATATTTAGGACGGTATGTTTACAACTCGAATTTATATAAAATGTTTAAAGAAGAATAGCTTGCTGCAGTTTTTCCTGGGGATCTCTTGTCAGTGACATGTAACATGTGACGAGAGCCATTTAATATAAAATAAAGGTTTAAAGTACAACTCTTGCATTTTTAGTACAATAAAAAGAGAGAGAGAGAGTCAGCGTTAGGGATAGGAAGCTGCCATATGTTTTCAAACACCATCTGGTTAATGGGGAATTTGCTGCCTTTGGAGCTATCAATGTGATTAGATTATGGATTTTATTTGTGTGGGTGGGGAGCACTGCAGGCGTTATAAATGACAGGCAACTTTAAATGATGGTAAGTCTTGAGCATCAGGAACTACGAAAAGTAAATAGTGGAAAAGCATTTCCTGAAGTTAAACAGTACTGCTTACAAGAAAATTTGCTCACTTGAAAAATGTCACGTAGCCTCTTATTATCCTGCAGCTGCAGATTTAAACATATAATTTTTAAATACCCGAGAAACCAGGCGTTGTGTCACTGTACTGAAATCAGCATTTTTATAAAATGGATTATAACCAGTGTTGGGAAGGTTACTTTTAAAATGTATTCCACTACAAATTACAGAATACATGCCCCAAAATGTATTTTGTAACGTATTCCCTTACGTTACTCAATGAGAGTAACGTATTCTGAATACTTTGCATTACTTAATATATTATCATGCTGTTTACAACTACATGAATGTGATTTATTACTATTACTGAAGGTCCGCGGCTCCGAACCGTAGTAACGGGACCTCTCGCTAATACGTCGGGTTCCGTGTTGGGCTCGTAAAATCCGAAAAATAGCTTTACTTTGTTGTCTGGGTCAAGTTTGAGACAGAGAGACAGAGAGAGGCGTTGAAAGGCTGCTCCAACGGAACTTATTGTTTCGGAGGAAAACACGAACACGGCGTACAGTCGAGTCTTAATAGCTTACTTACAACTGGGCTCGTCAGGCACTCTTCTTGGCTGCAGTGGTTATTATTATATTTACATGCTTCCAGCTCCCGTTTCTGCTCGATGACAGCTCGTACTTTTCCACTCTCCTTTTTCTCCCTGCTCGCGCTCACAGACACATAACGGGTATGGCGGTCCATTCTCCCTGCAGCACGGCCTACACTGCCCATGAGGCTACATTCTTTAGGGCTATGCCTGTAGCATTCTGCCCTAAAAAATGTTATTGTTTGTCTTTTTTTCAGTGTTTTATTTGTTCGTGAGTAAATCGGTTTGGCTGAGATTAAAGTTATTAGATTAGATAAAATAAAACTTTATTAATCCCCCGGGTGGGTTCTTCCTTGGTTTTTACACAGCTGAATAAACGTCAAACAGAAAACTGATTAAACAGAAGTGTGAGATGGTCGAGAATTTACGCCAGTGTCCTGTTATATTTTAGATAGCAAGGAGCAGACGGCCAAGTTTATTAAACTCCACCGAGACAGCGGTGACGCTAATCAGAAGGCTAGACCGTCTAATTTCCCCAGCCGTTTACTTCCTGCCTACCCGACCTTCTGAGGACCCGGCCCACGTAGACCGCGAAGGCCGGGTCCTCAGGAGGATGCAGCCCATGAATTTGGACACAGCTCATATGTTTGTGCGGTTGGCCCAGGGTTCCTCCTAATCCAGGACAATGCTAGATCTCATGTGGCTGGAGTGTGTCAGCAGTTCCTGCAAGACGAAGGCATTGATGCTATGGACTGACCTGACCCTGTTCCCCAGACCTGAGTCCAATTAGGCACATCTGGGACATCATGTCTCGTTCCATCCACCAACTCCACGTTGCACAACAGACTATCCAGGAGTTGGCGGATGCTTTAGTCCATTTCTGGGAGGAGATCTCATCAAGAGTATGCCCAGGCATTTTAGGGAGGTCATACAGGCACGTGGAGGCCACACACACTACTGAGCCTCATTTTGACTTGTTTTAAGGACATTACATCAAATTTGGATCCACATGTAGTGTGTTTTTTCCACTTTAATTTTGAATGTAACTCCAAATCCAGACCTCTGTGGGTTGCTAAATTTGATTCCCATTGTGTGATTTGCTGTCAGTACATTCAAGTATGTAAAGACCAGAGTATTTAATAAGAATATTTCATTAATTCAGATCTGGGATGTCTTGTTTTTGTGTTCCCTTTATTTTTTGAGCAGTGTACAAACGGGCACAGTGAGTAACGTCAGTTATTTTAACAAGGTGTCAGGACAGAACAAAAATGGTCAAGAATAAGGAAAATACAACCTCAGATGAACAACAACGCATAATATATTAGATCTTGTCTTTATTTATTTAACAAAAATTAAGCTAAAATGAAGCAGCAGTGAGTTAAAACCTAGACAAACCAGTACTGATTCCATAGGACTAAAGAAGGCAAGTAAAACC